TACTGTAAGAACAGCAGCATCAAATGATAGGACAAGAGAACAAGCTCTATATCAGCTTTGAAAGCAAAAGCTTCAATTAAAGTTTGCTTTACAAAACTCTTGGTTTTACTTCTATTCATCTGCTAGCTATAATGACTGGTACATTCCTGAATCTTGTTTGTTCTGTTTCCAAACATATGAGAAAGTGATGTCCATAGCGATCAGATGATTGCTGGCATGTGGGGGGGCGGGAACTAGCTGATAGTTGGTATATAAAATAGCCTCCAGACCAATGTAGAATTGACAAACTCTTTGTCTCTGGATATCTTTTTTTTTTTTTTTTGGTACTGGGGATTGAACCCAGGGGCACTTAGCCATTAGCCACATCCCCAACACATTTTTTGTATTTTATTTGTAGACAGTGTCTCACTGAGGTTGCTTAGGGCCTTGCTAATGTGCTAAGGCTTACTTTGAACTCTCAATCTTCCTGCCTCAGAGTTACTGGGATTATAGGCATATGCCTGGCTTCAGGATATATTTAAACTTTTAAAAATTATAGAAGACCCCCAAAACCTTTATTTGTATGTTAATCTACATTTACGAAATTATAAATTTAAACTGAGAACTGTTTAAAATATTTGTTAATTCATTTAAAAAGAATAGACTCATTAAGTGTTAACGTAGTTGCATACATAGTCATTTAATAAACAATGGCTGTGTTTTCCAAAACAAAGATAATTAAATGAGTAGAATGACATTATTTTATGTTGTGCAAGTCTCTTTAATGTCTGATTTAATAGATACAAATTCTCACATCTAGATCTATATTCAAACTTTGCTATATCACACATCATACAGCCTCTGGAGAGAGAGTACAACTGAACAGAACAGCCAGAGACTTAGTGTTTTTATGTGCGTTAGTCAGCGTTTTGCTGCTATAACCAAAATACCAGATAAAAACAACTTAGAATGGAAAAGGTTTATTTTGGGCTTACAGTTTCAGAGGTGCAGTCCATGCCCGGAGATTCCATTTCTTTCACTCTGTGATGAGGCAAAACATCATGGAAGAAGCACGTGACACAGGAAGGCTGCTTTGCTCAAAGCAGCTAGAAAGAAAAGAGAGAGTGGGGAAGGGTCCAGGGATAGATATAATCCAAGGCTATGCCCCCAGTGACCTACTTCCTCCAGCCATGCCACACTGGCCCTCAGTTACCACCTAATAGTCCAATCAGCTATTAATGGACTAACACAGCAAATGGATTAATCCACTGATGAAGTCAGAGCCCTAATTGTTGCCTAAAAGTCCCAACTCTGAACCTTACTGTACTGGAGATCATGCTTTCAACAATGAGTTTTTTGGGGGACTTCCAGATCCAACCCGTATTATGAAAATAATTTCCCCCTTGCAGATCCTTTGCAAGGGTCACAAGGATACCCAGGGTCACTAGACAACACTTTGAAAACTACTGCCTGATACTAACTAAATCAACATATGCTCCACTGTGACATTATATGATTTTTCTCATGCATGCTTTCTTGAACTTCTTTAGATATTAAGCAAATAAAAAAGAATACTTTGATCTTTAAATAAAATAAATAATATCAGATTATTTGGGTGTTGGGAGAACAGAATGGGAAAGAGTGGTTCCTGGAGGAGGTGTGTGCTATTCATGAAAGTATTTCATGAGCTAGTAGGAAATAGTAAGTTATAAATAATGGACAATTCCCAGCAATCTGCTGCCAACTCTTTTATCTTTGTTTCAGTGAAGCAAAATAAAATGTTAGTAACAAGAACATTATTACAGAGATATCTTGAATCTTTTAGGCTCTATTTATTTAAGTAAATACTTTGAAAGTTTGGGCCTTTAACAATTAGTGGAAACCAATTACTCTTAAAACACTCTTAACAATGTTGAGTATATCTTTGCCTTGTATCATGCAAAGACAGAAACTTACCACTCTTATAGGTGGCTGGTGGAAGTGAGATGTATTGTATTCTATGCATTCAATTCTTCTCTTTATATGCAATTGCTGACAAATAAAAAGAAGTTCACTTTTTATCCCTTTATATATCAGTATGTTAATGTGTGTATATGATACACATACAATCTCATGTGTATGCACATATTCATTCATTCAACATATTTACAAAGATTGTAGCAGGCACCATTCCTAGCAATCTGGATCCAGAATATAACACAAATTCCTGCACCCCTAAATCTTATATTTTAGAGAAGCGTAATAAAGATGAATAAGCCAAACAAACCATATATTACATTGTGTAAGTATTAGAGAAAAAAACATAATGGTGGTAATAAGAAATTTTGGAAATGTTAGGATTTAAAGTAGGGTGGGGAGTAGAGGACTGGCTGAAAAGACAACATTTGAACACAATTAGAGGGAGCAAGCCATTATGAGTAAGTGTTCAAAGCAGAGGAAACAGCAACAGCAAAGAATATGGGGTTGAGAGCTTGCATACAGTCCTATAGGAACACAAGGCTGAGTGAGGTCAGAGACGTAATGAGGGGAGGATAGAAAGCTATTGGAAGACTTTTGTTTTTGCTTTATGTTGGGAAGCCAAGGGAGACTTTGAACAGAGGAAGGGTATGACATCACTTCCTTGTTAATGGGTTTGACTTTTGTGTTGAGAATTGACAGTTCCTAGGGTACTGTAATAGTCCAATGAGAGATAATGTAGATTGTAGTAGAGGTGTTCATTAGTCAGATCCTGAATGTATTTTGAAGGAAGAGCCAATAGATTATTTACAAAACAAAGATCGGAACAAAGAGAGAGGGAGAGACTAAAAATGGGTTTGGAGAAGGAAAGATGGAACCATTTATTGAAATAAAGAGAGCTGAAGCCTGGAAGGGTATTTTAGACTCTGTTGATTAACCCCTATCTTACATCTTTTGAAAGACAGAATGCAACTTATTTATCTGTTCTTGTTTTGGTTATTTGTTTTGGTACTGGAGAAGGGCTTTACTACTGAGCTACATTCCTAGTCCTTTTTATTTATTTATTTAGAGACAGAGTCTTTCTAAACTCCTTGGGCTGGTCTTGAATTTGTCATTTCCTGCCTCAGATTCCCCAATTCCTGGGTTTACAGGCCTACCCACCATGCCCAGCTAGAATCTGTCCTAAATCTGGACCCAGAGCAAATAAAAAAATACAAAACCTTTCAAATTAGAATCATTTATGGACTAAGAAACATACTTATGTTCTGATTGCAACTCTCTCAAGGTCTTCAAGTAAGTCGTAAGTCGTTTAACCTTTTATTATCTGGTTCTTTAAAAGGGTTGGATTGACTAGGTTAACTATTATAGTCTTTTACATTCAAATCCTAGCTGTGTGCATGTTTCTTTAAAATCAGTCTAGTAGTAAGACCCAATTCATATGATATTGTAGGGGTTAAACCAGTTTATGCATGTAAAGCACACATGTGACAATGCGCATTGGTAGTTAGGATTATTTCTTTAAGCTAGAAACTTCAATACATACCACAATTTTGCTATTATCTCTTCATGGGTTGTGTAGGAGGAGGGGTAAACTAGGTGGTTAAATGGATAAGAGAGAAAACTAATCTTAAATCTGGAGGACATACACTTCAATATTTCTACATTTATAGAGGTTATACGCAAAATAGTATTGACAGAAAACATCATTGAAGTAAATGGGGTTAGCCTGTTAACATAACTATGGGTTAATTTAGAAAGTTAAGTTAAACTGACTCCATTCTGCCCAGACACCTCACCCTGCTCCCTCTCCCTTTTTCCCTTCCTGCAAGAGCCCACACACTCACACAGAGGCTGACACCTCCACCTGTACCCTGAACACAGTGCTCACAGACACTAGCCTACTTTCTGACTATGTACAGGGGCTACCAGACAACGTGCCTGCTCCTCCTGCCCCCTCCCCTCTGTGTTCCCTGAGGTTTTGAAGTTTGCTTTCCACCTGTAATAGCAAGGGCTAAGCCCAACCCCAATGCCTAACCCAGACTCTGACTTATCAGTTTAGCTTAGAGGAAATCTGCTGCTGCTGTTCTCTTTGCACAGAAGCAGCCTTGTCAGATTTCCTGACAATAAACTTGCTTCTGTGATTCAGTCCTGTGCCACTTTCCTAACAAATGGCACCTTTGAAGAGGCTTTTACATATATGAATATGGATCCTGAAATAAATTGACTTCAGTGAAATAAAAGAAAATGTACATATTTCTGTACATATAAAGAACCTTTAATTTCCCAATCCTGAATGAGTTAATGAAATAAAAAAGCAACATCAATGTAAGACAGAAGATAATGTTGTTACACAATGTTGAAATACATACTCTTGTAAATAATAAAAGACATGCTTTCATTCTCTTCATTTAACTAAAAATAAGGATAAATTGCTGATTGTACATGCTAAAACGGAATGCACAATACTGTTAAGAGTTTTGACAACACCACATTCCTTCCCAGCACCGTAAAAAAACAAAACAAAAACACACTCTTGCCATGGAAATAATCCATTTCTTTAATTTTAGATTCTTACGCTGATTAATTTCTTCCTCCAGCTTCTCAGGCCCTACTTTGTCAGGAAAAATAAGTCCAAAGGGCCTTATCCTCCCCTATTGCATCGCTCAACCATTCAGAAGGTGAATAAATTGGAACGTCTCAGTGGGCTCCCCCTCCTGCCTTGTTTTTACGTTTTTCCTCAAAGGAACTGTACTTTTGCTAGAGGCTCTTCAAACCGAAACTCGGGTAGGCGCGCAAGGGTTTCTTTAGGGTCACAAAGCGGGGCAGCAGCACTTCCTGGTCGCACGAGGGTTTTACTTGCTCCACCCCAAATCTCTCGCAAGTGGCTCCGCATTCTTCCCGAGCCTCCAGCCGCCAAGATGCACAAGGAAAGTAAAATAGCGACCAGTTAGAAGGATCCAGTAAGCGAAATTGATGCACTGTGACGGCCACTGCGTTGCCGGAAAGCTGGTGCACATGGCTACGCGAACCTGGGAGGAGCGTAGGGACAGAGGCTGGGCAGACGCGCGCGCGCGCGCGCGCGCGGATGCGAAGCGCGGCTCCCTCCCCGCGCGGCCCCGCCCCCGCGAGCGCCGGGCGGTCACGTGACGGCCGCGCGCGTCCCCGTCCGCTGCGGGCTCCGAGGCCGAAGAGAAAAGACTGCGAGGTGGCCTCGGCTGTGGCCAGAGAGGTGGGAGTCGGGGCGAAGCCCTGGCAGGGGGCAAGGTGAAAGTCAGTCACTGGGGGATCCTAACTCGGGGAGAGGTGGCATAGCCCGCGGTGTCACCTTCTGCCGCGACGCAATTCGGGTCGGCCCTGCGCTCGGGGCCTCAGAGGGGCGGCGGCGGGGTCAGGGGCCGGTACGTAGATGGACGCCCTTGGGCCGGCGCGGTCCCGACTGTCCGCGCGGAGGCGGGAGGGGACCGCTCAGCCCTTCCGTCGCCCCCGCTTTGGCTGCTGTCGCAGGCAAGAAGACTGTGACGGCCACTGCGTTGCCGGCGGGCGCCGCAGCCCCTGCCCTGGGCGATGGCCGGAGCTGGTCGCAGCCAGGGTGCGAGAGGCGGAGCAGCGGCCATTACTGCGCAGCCTCTTCCGCCCGGTCTGTGTCGCTGCCTTGGGTGGCCGCGGGTCCCTCGTCTCCCCCTTCCGCGATGGTGTCAGGCCTCTACCCGGGCACCATCTGGCCTCAAGGTTTAGGGGCGACGATGATTTGGGGGATAGCCTGCACCCTGTTCTGTGTGTGGTCAAACACTTTGGGCCCTGGGTCAGATCGTAGTCAGGGCGCACGGTCTCTGGATTTTGTCTTTCTTGGAGTCTTTCGCTGCTGCTTTCTCTTCTCCCTCTCTTCTCTACTCAGCCCCTGGGGCTTGCCTAACACTGAGAGAGCAATCCTTCCACCTTGCCCATTTGAAACCCAGCATTGCATCTTATCAGTTGTTTTGACGATTATTAAAGCACTGGAATAATCAGGAGATGTGTCCAGAGTACCCATTGAGCTTCTCCAGCCTCTGTGCGTCTTTAAAGCCGAGGTTGTTGCTTTGTTCTGGTTACCGGGTGCGGAGTTCTCTTCCTACTCTCCATCCCATTTGAAAGAGTATGGTCTTCCATTGTTGTCGCTAGTTTATTTTCTGAAGACTTCTAAAGAAACGCTGTAACATTGTTTTTTAGTGTGGAGATGGAACAGCTCTCTTCACAGGTAAACTCTGTACTACTGTAACTTTACCATATATTCTGGCAACAAGATTTTTTTCTTGGGAGTCTTTCTGGTGTATGTTTTTTTTTTTTTCTAAGTGCCATTTTAGTGAGCCCGTACTTCCAAGTTTTGAACATTTTAAGTTACATTCTAAAAATACTTAAATAATGTAGAACTGAGGGGAAGAAGAAAGCTAAGATATGATAGGAAAGGCTTTGTTCTTTGAATGATTGACATTTCAGGTGCCAGGGCACTCCCCCCCCACACACACACACAGACTGTGTGTGTGTGTGTGTGTGTGTGTGTGTGTGTGTGTATACATGTACTTTTCAAGCGGAGATGTGAACATATAACTTGGACATTGAAAGCAGTATGTAATTACAAAATTTGGAAGACCTACAACATTTTAGTAAATGACTGTATGTAGACTTCAAAAAGACGGGGCATATTAGGACACGAAGAAATTGACCCACACAAATAATAGGATTTGTGATGTTGGCTTTGCTGGGTTTTTTTTGACTAGCACATTGTTTGTTCAATGTCTGGGTGCTGTAAAAACACAGGAAAATAGGTCAAGTAAATCTCATTTTAAAGAGAAAACTAAAGAGTGAATGCCACTCTAAAAATAGATTTTGGATGTGTTTGTTTTGCCTTGGGTATTTTAATTGGAGCACTTGGATTTAGAATTTACATGTCAAATGGGCCAGTGGAAGTTGTGGACAGAAGGAAAAGACTGGTACTTAAACATTTGAAAGTTTCTCTTTTTTTGTTGGCCATTAAGAAAGTGGTAGAATTATATCATCAGGAAAACTTTCTCCAAATATCTGGTCATTAGACAAGAGGGATTAAAAAGGAAATGACATTTTTTTTTCCTTGTAGGAGAAACCTGGTAAAGTGTTTCAGTTTTCACTGACTTGAATTGTCAGAAGAAAGGAGCAGACTTGTTTTGAAAAAATTCAAGATGATTTCTTAAATTAAAAGATGAAAATGATAGGATTAAATAATTTCACAATTTTCTGTTTAAATAATATCATTTTCTGTATTTGCATGAAACTTCTAACAAAGGCGTTGTTGGGGTTATACTTGTTTTTTTCCTCTGGTGTTAGTAATGAAAGGTGCTGAGACTTTTCTCTTGCCTGGTTTCCTTTGATTAAGGAATCTGAATTTGTGAAACAGCAGGCTGAATTAGGAACAATGTTTGTGAGTATAGAAGCTAACACTGGGCAACAACCACCTGTGTCTATTTCTGTATTCTATTTAGTGTTTGTGCCATATTGTCTTTCGGGTTAATTAAAACAGAGTCTATTGTTAAATGCCTTTTTTTTTTTAAAGAGAGGGAGAGAATTTTATTTTTTTTTTTTTTTTTTTAGCTTTTCAGCGGATACAACATCTTTGTTTGTATGTGGTGCTGAGGATCGAACCTGGGCCGCACTCATGCCAGGCGAGTGCACCACCGCTTGAGCCACATCCCCAGCCCTTGTTAAATGCCTATTAATGCACTTAGAATTACAGAATTATAGTGTAGGGAGAAGTAACAAAGACATGGCAGTTATGACTTGACCAAGATCACAAATTTAATTAGAGACTTTTTTATAGAATGGTGCTGGCCATGAACCTCCTATATTTGATATAATTAAAAGACAATATTTATTCACATGTACATACCATATTGAAATAAAATGCAAGCCCGACCTTGGAGAGAAGAATTGTAAAGGTTTAATGCTTAAGTATCAAGATTGTGAACGCAGTAAATAGATGGTTTTTAAAGGGAAATGATATATAATTGGGAAAGAATTATTTAAAATAAAGTATTGGCCCCTATTCAGCTGAAATGGATATGGTCTTCCAAGTGTGACCTGTGTTTTTTTGTAAGCTGGTCTTCAACTGGGGTGATGAAGGCCAAAAATAGATACATTATGGTATTTAGTTACATTTCTTAATTTGGAACTCTTAAGAAAATGTTAAGGTTTATCTACTAAATCACCTAATCTCTACTCTTCATTCCTTTTTCTCCTGTGTGAGAATGTGTATACATATTTATTATATAATATTGTACACACATCATTAGATAAACATTATGTATTTATATATTTAAAAGAATTATTTATTTGAATTTACTATCTGGGGAAAAGAAAATGGCTTTTTAAAAAATTTGTGACAGACTTGAAAATTGGACTTTTAATTCTAGATATTTTCATAAGAAATAACTATTCAAATAATAGAATGAATGAATTCAGTAGTCACAAATTTTAAACTATGCAATATTACTTCATTTTCAGTTGTACTTATTTTAATTGGTTATGTAAAAAATAATCACTGATAATCTCTAAACCTCTTTATATAGTTATAAATTAATCTGTCACCCCTTTTTTTCCTCCACAACTGTAATCTAATGCTTTTGTTACTTTTTTAATAGATCATCACATTGAGTCTGTATAATTTACAAATCATTCATTGCAACAGAATTATGAATATTTGAATTATTTATTTTTTGTTTAATTATTTCTGGGCCTGTGGTTAAAATTACAATATTCTCTCTTCCTGGGTTTGAATAAAATGGAAGCATCACTCTCCCCTCTTTTTAAAAAAAAAAAAAAAAAATGTTGTTTTCAGATATTATGGAAGATTTGGGACTTTTTCACATGACAGTTCTGAGTGTTACATATATACCCTATTTTGTGAAGCCCTATCCCAGGGCTTTTTAAATTATATTCTGCAGAGGTTGTAGTTGATGGTCAGCTTGGCAGAATTGGGCCCACCTAAACTTGTTAACTGATCAGAATAGAATATGCATGGAATTAACATGGAGTTCATTGTTTTCTTTTTATTGATTACTGTAATAACTTACCAGTTTTGTGTTTACAAAAAAGTTGCTAAGGAAAAAATTGTAGATCTGCACTGCCCAATATGGTAGCTACTGACCACCTGGAGCTATTAATTACTTGATATGTGTCCAGTCTGAATTGTGCTGTAAATGTAGAGTACACTTTGAATTTCAGAGTATACACACATGAATGTAAAATATCTCATTAATAATTTCTTTACAATGAATACATATTGAAAAGGTAACATTGTAGATACATTGATTTGAATAAAATAAAAGTTAATATTACCTATTTCTTTGTGTTATACTTGAAATTACATATGTATTTGCAAAATATTTTAGGCACAAAACTATTCTAGTTTTTTTCCTTGAGAGAGAATACATTGTAGAAAGGATTTTTAAAAATACATCAGTGTATTTGAGTTTGAATCCTATCAGGTATTAATACCTCTGTGACTTTGGGTCAGTTATTAGCCTTCTGAATTTGGGGTTGCTCATTTGTGAAATGGGTATTAGTCATTTTTTACAGGTTGTTTGGAGGATGCAGTGATATAATGAGACTATAGAAGCCTTTAAATCACTGAGAGACCTGATTCTATGGGTCTGGGGTAGGGCTTCAGATTTTCATTTGTAAGAACCCCCCAGGTCATGCTGGTATTGCTGGTTGGGAACCAAAGTTTGCATAGTTAGGATCTGATTGCTACTAACATTTTAGTTTATTTTCCTTCCCCCAACTTTCATTATCCATCTAGCCTCTACTTTGAAATTATCCTTGAGATAGAAATTTAAAATGTCATCCTAACTTGCAATATTTAAAAATATTATATGTACTATATGCACTCTTTTAGGGATACCACAGGAGTCCTGTTTTACATTTATAAAGTTTTGTCTCCTTTTTTAGCTGGAGTGATATCTATTGATGGGGTAGTATTACTAAATCTCAAATTTGAAGGACCAACTTACTTATATTGACTTATAAATTATTTTTGAAAGATAATGCATACTTACAAGTGAAATACTTTTAAAAATGCACCAAGAACATAGAAAGATAGTATTTGAGTTTATTTTATTGTTAAAGAATAACTATACCTGGTTCCTTTCAAAGCCAGCCTCAGCAATTTAGCTAGGCCCTAAGCAACTTAGTGAGACCCTGTCTCTAAATAAAATATTAAAAGGGCTGGGGATGTGGCTCAGTGGTGAAGAGTCCCTGGGTTCCATCTCTCATACAAAAACAAAACTCTTTAAAGGAATAAAAAGAATCATCAAGGTTTTAAAAATTGGTGGAAGACATTTCTGAGAGTCCTGACCATTACATGAGGCCAGAATTTTAAAAAAAGAATAAA